AAACCTTTTCGCCTTGAGGTTAGCCTAAAAAAATAAGGGGACACCAATCAATATATACATTTACATACATATAAAGTCACAAATAAAGATGATCTCTAAATAAATTCAAAGTTCAGAAAATACCAACAAATAATTCTCCCATGTCTCTAGGGTGGCTACAACCATCTGCTTCTCCTCGTCCCAGCCAAATCCCGTTTGTCCGAACCTTAATTTCTTAAACTCCTTATACCTACTTTTTAGATCTTGTATTTTGTTATTAAAGGATTTAGTGTTGAACTTCAACCCAACTTGTGCAAAAAAACTTTGTTGAACATCCCATTTGGTTTTAGACACCCAGAAACCATTCTCTCACTTTGTACTTGAAGTACTAGTAAATCTATGAAAACATTTTCTTGCGCAAGAGCCCAATTTGCATTAATAATGGGTGCATCATCAAATGTTGTGGTATTGACTACACTATTTTCCATTTATATAATAATCATATCATTAGTTACTATCGAAGTGCTAGAATCATTTTAAATTTTGTGTTGAATAAGCAAATAGCACAAGTATGGAATTACTTACAGTGATAGGAGTCACCTGTGGTAGATGAACCCAAAAAATATGCAAATGGCTGTAATATAAAGTTGCACAAAAAAAGAAAACAAAGTTTGATATCTTTAGCAAACTTGCTGGTACAACCCCCAAGCAACCAAGTTCACCACCTTATAAAGATACATTAAAAAAATAGGTGTATGTAAACATGTCTTTTTACATCAGATCTACAACATGAAGTTTACGATGAAACAAAACAATTTAATAGTGGAAAATTATATGATATATATAAACAGGTGGAGAAGCATATGATATATTGTAAACAGGTGGAGAAGCATATGATATATGTAAGCAGGTCTTTCATAACTCTGTGGATTGCATTGTTGATTAGAACTATTCATTGGAACACTCCCTTAATTAGCTTCAGGTTTTATTTTTTTTGCTGCAATGCAAATAAATAAAATAAAGTAGAAACTGAAACAAAAATAAATAAGAATTTACACCGAAATCATCATTGGTGTCTACTATGTCAAGCCTCATTAAAAACTATTCTTAATGAATTTTACTGATAATACATAATATCCAAATTAATTTTGATGGATAATATTTCATTCAAATTCAAATATTATTGCTAACAGAAATTCAAATCTACATATATTTGATTTGGATCCAAACCATTTACAACCTTGAATAACAATGAAAGGTCTAGAGAGATATGCAACTCTGTCTGGTTTGGGTTTGAGGCCAATTTGATTAAGTAGCATGCTTTTTAGGCCCTAATTGAATTAGATTGGATGAGTGTGTACTTCTAGAGGGTCGGTGTATGCATGCTTTTTACAAATACTTATGTCTCACATGTTCAAATACCAATCTTTATAGCTTGGAACCAACTAGCAATAGAAGTGATTCTGATGGAGCAAAATCTGTTTCACCCAATTTTTATTGATTGGAACCCAGTAGCCAAAATTTGTTTCACCCAATCTTTATAGATTGTAACCAACTAGATCAATAAATAGAAATGATTCTGATGCACCTAGATCAATAAACTGAGCTTCCACATTGTGCCTTTGCATAAAAAATTATTGATTGCTTTACTCCGACATTAGAGAAAAAGTATGAATCCCGAAGCATCATAACCCAAAGAAATTAAAAAAAAAGAAAAATCAGTATACATCTGGCAAAACAGTTAGGTGATAACTGTTATTCACTCCATTACATAGGTCAAAGATATTTCATAATCCCTAGTGAATGTGACACGATGCATGAAATCTAGGGCTTATGAACAAGGACAGCTCTCCACCCAAAATGAATTATTGGCCAAGCAAGGCAGTCCAGCTTCCAATCACAACTAGTAGTTAGTCAACAAGATTAAATCACATTAATTCAATTACAGTGGAATTGTGTTTCTCTTTGTTGCTTTGGACTAATGTGTGGTAGATCATAGATATATAAATGCATTGGATCTTTTTTTTATCTATCTATAATCAAAATTCAAAATGATTGTACTTTGAGACAAATGTACAGAGAATCAAAGGTTAAAGCTCAATATGATCCTGCACAACTAAAGTTTTGCATAGCAGCATTGTAAACTATAAGTGTTAAAAGATTGATAACGAGTGTAAACTCCAAAACAGAGAGGTGAGAGGTGGGTCTTTTCACCAACTCTAATCACACAAATCACAAACATCGATCTTAGACCGCCCTAATATTATTTACAAGAGGTGGACCTCATGGCCTACACATGGATATATAATGTCTAGAGTAGATATTTAGGATGAGGATGGTGTGACGTCCATGGGAGCTACATTACAGGGGGTTGGGACATTCCACTGAGAGTTATTGGTAAGACAGGATAGAAAAGAAGAGGCTGAGCTAGCAATTAACTCTCAGTAAAGAGTAAAAGGTTTAGAAGGAAGGTGTCCCATTGTGTCTCATTCGCTCAGATCAAGTCGTACTGAGGAGGACAAGGCAGAGAACAATGGACAGAAGTGGCAAAACAATATCGACTTTCTTCATCGAGAAAGCTTCTACTTTTCAAAGAGAGTGCTGATAAGAAAGGGACTTATGCAGGTAGACACTAGACAACAATGAGAATGATCAAAATTTGTTGAAAATCAGGGAGCCACAGTGAAAATTAAAGAGAAACAATTTTGGGGAAAATTAGGGAGGATAGTAGGGAAATGGTTTTGGTAGGATTGGAAGCTGTAGGTTGGCTTAAGGGGTTCCAAACGAAGAAGGGTTTATACTATAACAACAACAATAGGAGACGAAGAAGAAATTCCAGACAAAGAAGGGAAATGGGGTTGTACCTGTCTTGTTAGTAAGTTTTCAAACCTCTGATCATTGTAAGTTACCCTGATGGTATACCTGCAAAAAGGAGAGAAAGATTAGCTCGCATGAAGAAGAAAAAGAGCAAAAAGACACTTGAAGAAGAAGAGAATATTACGCAGGTCGACAATGGCGGAGCTGAGAGCTAGGGGTCGAAACATCTGAGAGTTTTATCGAAGGATTGGCATTTTGTCACAAGCGTGTGCGTTGTGGCACACATTCGAAGAAGACAGAAGATTGTGGAAGCTTCATTTGAAGCTTCCTGAAAAAGCCCAAATTCGGTCTTTTCTTGTCTTTTGTGGGCTGTGCCCTTTTACAAATAGATCTATCATTTACCAAATGGGAAAAGCCTGAAAATCGAGCTTCCAGGCTTCTAAACAGCCGAAAGCCCGCACGAACAGACTTGCCAAATACGGCCTTGGTATTCAAAAAAAAACATAATACATTATAACAACATTTTCCTATTAAAAAAAAATACATTATAACAACATTTTCCATCCGAAAGCTAATGGAAGAGAGGTATTTTCACTTTTTTTTTACAAAACTACAGAGGAGGTTATTGTTAGGGTAAAAAATAAGGAAGGTTTATTAGATTGTTAGAAACCCTAGGGAAGTTTTTATAATTTTTTTAAAGTTCATAAGTAAAAGAAGATCTTAATATTTGACCGAAACTCCAAAGGAGGTAATCTATCAAAAAGAAGAAAAAAAATCCAAAGGAGGTATATTTAGTTTACCATAGAAATAATTAACTTGGGAATTCCAGCCCCACTTCACCTAAGCTCATTTTTTTTTTCATTAATGAAGCTCAAATTAATTTTTATAAAGTGACCTATCTTACCCCATATCTTACAAGTTACAACACATTGAACAATCCTTGGTTTAGCTGTGACCCACATGTCAATTATGCATTGTGTTTCATATTTTCTTTTTCCTAAATTCATGGGTTTAAGGGTGTCAACAGAGTTAATTTGAAGAGAAACAGATAATATTCAAATTTGAATAATCAAATATGAAAAGAGCACCCAAATTCAAATTTGATTGAACAATCAAATATTCAAATTCAGCCAATTAATTCGAATCTTCAAACCCAATTCATGATCATCATGATCATCACCTCATATTGCAATTTGTTTAGCTGAGATTGATTTCTGTTGGAAGCAGTTTGCTCCTCCTTTTCGGCATCTCATATCTTTTGCGCTGTTCATAGAGGTTTCATGGGCTGTTTGTTTCAATTCCCAGTGCTCTAGATTACTTCTTTGTTGTTCATCAGCAAGTTTAATCATCTCTCCATTGTTATAATTTTCACTTGCTGTTAATTTGTATATTTTATAGATTTGTAATCCGAGAATTTATGGATGAAGTTTTTGAATTCTTGGCTTCAAAAGAAATCATCATCGAAGCCTTAGATATCCAAATTCAATCCAATCAGATATCATTATTTATTTTTTATTTGACAACACAATCACCAATGGGGACTGCATTACTATTAAAGAGTCCGTCAGAGACAACAGAAAAATCCCAAGAAAAAAACTTGGTGATGAGAGATCTTCAATTTGTAATGAGTTCAATGGGAGACGATTATTTACCAATGTTTCAATGCTGCCATGATTTCTCGTTACAATTTCCTACATGTGTAGCGCATGCATAAGCCTAAAAGAAGAATATATATAGAAATGTCAGAGATTCACAGTAGTGGAGATATCTGTGCTGTTTAGGAAGTGGAATGAACCAATAACTTTCATCCAGAGACCAGGGCCACGCTATCGATCGTTGCAGGAGGTGGAATGAACTGATGATAACTTCCATTCAGCGCCCACCTTGTCGTCGATACAAAGTCAAAAAGAAGAGTTAGGCCATTGCATGGTCCTCCCTAGGTAGCTCCTTTTTATCACCTTCACCCATCAGTCCATCTCCTTTTTTCTTGTCTTTTCTCCTTGTGCTTAGTCCTCGATCCCACAGTACTCTCTAATTAAACCCCCTTAATTTGTTCATATATCTTCTCTGCCAGAGTCAGACTACTGCATCATCAATATTCATCACACAATTCACATATATACTTGGGTTTCTAGCATTCCTCTGGATTATTCTCGTTTATTGATTGGTAACGTTTCTCTGGCATTTGGGGTTGCATGAAAACCATGAGTACTGATCCAAAATTTGCACCAGACAGCTCAGACCCACCTCTGCTAGATCAGTACACAGCATTGTTACACCGCTCAGCTGGACAAGTTTACACAACTCGGGGCGACGGTAGGCAGCATGGAGTGGTGGAGGAATGTGGACTACTCCCGGTAATAGATCTTGGTGGTCTGTGGAGCAACGACGGAGGGAAGCGGCAGGCTTGTGCAGCGGATATCGTGAGGGCGTCGTCGGAGTGGGGCTTCTTCCAGGTGGTGAACCATAACATAAGTCCCCAGCTTCTGGGTGAGATGAGGAGAGAGCAAGTCAAGGTGTTTGAGACACCTTTCCAGAGAAAAGCTAGTGGTCATGGTGGATTTCTCAACGATTCATACAGGTGGGGAAATTCTACTGCGACTTGTCCCAACCAATTATCTTGGTCTGAGGCTTTCCATATTCCTCTCACCAAGATATCAGATGAGGCTTTTTATCAAGACCTTACCTATCTATCTCTAAGGTATTATTATACGTTGGTTCACTAACTTGACATTTTGAGTTTAATTGTTGGTTTTGAAGAATATATATAAGCTTCCACTTGCCTTAAGCTTCTCTTATATATACTGATGAGCATCAGTTGTAATAATCTCTCTCTCTCTAACATGCCCTAGGGCTGATTCCATTACTATATTTTTAAATTACAAACCTTCATCCTATAGGTTTTTATTCTTTCACACGCCCTTTTCGGCTTGAAGTGTGGGTACACAATCATATATAGCTTATGTTGAAACTTAATAATTATAATAAAAATTGGAAAAGATCAAACATTGAACCATCTGGTCAAAAAAGCTCTGATACCATGTTAAGAAACCCTCCAACGTAAAAAAAATTAAACAGTTAGCTGAGGTCCAATGCCAAACATGCATCTACTTTCTATTCTTATTCTATTGTTTATTGGAGATCGAGTTTAATTTATAGGTAGCTAGAAAGTTAGGTGCTGTTTGATAGCACTTCTTAGACCTTTGAAGTTTGAAAATATTGCTTTTCAGACGCCAAAGGTGTTTGAAAGTGTATTTGAATTTTGGTCTAAAATGAATTTTTAGATCTAAAGTAATAAGACCCATGCTAGATGTTGGACGTGCTCATACGCATTTCAAACCTAGCCGAAAGTACAAAATACCCTTGATTAAAGACAAGCATATGTTTCTCCCTCTCACTGTTCATCTTCTCCACTTGATGCAACAGAAAATCAGTGGCGGCAAGTGACTCTCTCTCTCTCTCTCTTCTTTCCTCTTTTTCTTCTTCTTCCTTTCTGGTCCCGCGGCTTTTGTCCTCTGTTTTTCATTTTCGATTGCCACTATAGCTTACAACAATGGAATTCTCTTTCTCTTTCTGAATGTCAATACTCGAGTATATGAGAACGACTGCAAATCACTGTAACCACATAAGATGAGAACAAAGAGGTTGGAAAAGGACCAATCGTCGAACCAACTGCAAATCACATTAACCATAGAAGATGAGAACGAAGAGGTTGGAAAAAGGCCAACCGTCGAACTGACTACAAATCACTCTAATTGGACGGTTGAGGTGCCGCCAGCCGATGCAAACACCGAGCTCTGTCTTCTCCTTGGCGGAACTCAATACCCATTAACAGTGGCAGGATTGTTATCAAGAGGAATTGACTGAAAGATCATCGAGGCCGGTTACATATTTTATTTTTTATTAATTATTAACTATTTTATTACTTCTTCATTGGAATTTATTCATATTTTTCAATATTATTTGATTTTAATAAATTACTTTTTTTTTATAATTTTTACTAAATAGTATGTTCTAATGGTAAAATAGTAAAATCAAGGAATTTCAGATATTAAAGATTTAATCCAACACAAACAAGTTTATCTATCCAAAACCTCTAAAAAATAAAAAAGTATCTATGTCTCTTTTCAGATTTCAAACATAGATAATATATCTTTTTAATTTTTCAAATTTCATATTTCAAATTTATCAAATGCCGCTACCTTAGATTTCAAGTCACTACTGATGAGTTGAGAGGTGGTGGAAGATGGTGATTGGAATGTTAATTACTAATTAAGTTGTAAATTAACGCTAGCTAGCCGGTGATGCAGGGAAGTGATGAGGAAATTGGCTACAGCCATGTCGGAAGTTGCCCGGTTGCTGGCAAGTGTTTTAGCAGAGAATCTGGGTCATCCAAGAGCTCTTTTCGACGAATATTGCAACGAGAACACATGTTTTCTTCGATTGAATCACTACCCACGATGCCCAATCTCATCATCAGATATCCATGGCTTAGTACCTCATACAGACAGCGACTTTCTAACAATACTTTATCAAGATCAAATTGGTGGATTACAACTAATGAAGGATTCCAGATGGGTCTCTGTACAACCCAATCAAGATGCACTGGTCGTCAATATAGGTGATCTTTTTCAGGTATATATATGCTTATCCTGATGATATGATTTGACCTGATTCATATTTACTTTTAAAATCCGATATATATATATATATATATATAATTGAATAAACTAATTGTCTTTTCAAATCATTAATGGTGAATTAATCACTTATCTTTCAAATTAAAGCAAAACTATTTCAGAAGTGAGTGAGTGAGTGGGTCTATTATTCAAAGGGATGAATGAAAGGGGGAAACCCACTTAAATAATTATTACTTAGATTCAAATACAAGTGGGCATTTATAGGGAGACTCAGGAAACCTCCCTTAGGGGGGGGANGGGGGGCGGTCAGCCACTATATTGAAATTTCCAAGCCTTTGGTGGCCGGCCCCTACCTTATGCAATTATTTATTTATTTATTTTTTGTGGTGGCAGGGGTGGGGAGGGTGGTTGAGCTCTTTCCCTCCACCCCACACCAGTTGTTTCCTGTTTCCAAATGTCATCTTTTACTGTATTACACAAGTTAAGCCGTATGTGAAGGATATTGTAAAAATGCTTTTTAACTTTTGAAAATTTATTAAGAAAAGGTGCAACATTGCCTCATTGCCTTTTCTTTCATTCTTTGGAATTTTATATATTATACAGAAGGTATAGTGCTGAATTGGTGGAATTTAAGAGGCACAAAGAAGAAATACATAGATAATGGTTAATAAAATTAACATTTAGGTTCACTTTGTTTGTAATACAGATATCGAATCAGGGTATTTATATATTACGGTTCGCGTTTGTAAGCATTTGTTTGACATGTAAAAAAGTAAAGATTATCAGATCAAAGATGTATTTTTTAACATTTTTTATATTCTAAAAATAGATCATTACTGTACCTATTTTTTGGATAAAATTTTGTATTCTTTTGATAATCAACTTTTTAATCAAAGTTAAGATAATTGGAGCATTTAATGATGGGACCCATACTTAGCACCGATTTCAAACAAACAAAATAAGTGCAAAAACGATTTAAAATCTGAATCGTGTTTGCATTTATAAGCTGATATGCGGTGTACATATATGCATTTGCATTGCAACCAAATGCAGCCTTAATGTCAAAAGGAAACTATATCTACTATATAAAGGAAAAGGAAAGCATCACCAATATTCCACTCACCTCAATGCTCACATGGACCTCCCTCTCTTCTCATTTTTTTGTACATGTGGTTATTTATTTTTAAATTTAATTTATTAAAATATAAGAAGCCACAATAAAAATGCTCTCAGCTCTTAAATTTGTCTATAGTAAAATCCTTCATTACTCTCTTTAATAAGATCAATCTTAACACTCTCTCTCTCTCTCTCTCAACCCCTTTTAACTCTTAAACTAGGTGCATTACATTAGGTTGGGTTAAGAGCCAACCCAAGACCAACCCTAATTAAATATGGACCTTGGCTTGGACCCAAATTTCTCAACCTAAAGCTAGTCAAATTTCTATTATGCATTGCATGGATTTACTTGCCTGTTGCTAGTTCTAAGTAAACAACAACATCATGCATTACAAACTATATATACAAGGTTGGACATGCCTTTTTCTTGAGTCCCACCTTGTTTATTAGGCCAAGAAAATAAAGAATTGCATAAGCTCATTGTTCAGTAGCATTCCTGGGCAAAATTACATCACAAACTTATGAGGACAATGAACTATTATACTAATAAAGTTGTGATATTTGGTGTACCATTACATGTAGAGGGGCCTTTTACAGCTTAATTACACTAAATCATGGCTATCCATTACAAAGGTAACATAAAATAAGGATTGAATTTCAGAATTTAAGGAGATTAGAAATGGCAAATGTTACAAATAATAGCATTTAAGGTGCTATTTAATTGAAGGGGAAATTTACAATACAAATCCATGAGAACTAATTATGATACTAATAACAACATAATTGCTATTGACTTAAAGGGAAAGACAAGTTGAGAAAAATAAATAATAATATTAATATTAATATTAAGATTAAATTGAATGGGAAAAACTGTCCTTAGAAAACTACTAGAATACAACTAATTGCCTGCTTTCTGTGCGAAGTAATTGAAAATTCCTTTATGCTGTGTTTGGCTGGTGTCTAATTTTATTCGCTCTAGTACAAATGCATGGGAGTGCAAATGAAGAAAATGCTACTTTTAGTTTAATTTTGTTTTGGGTTTTACTTTATTCTGTTTCATGTCTTAATTTACTTTATTTGTACTGCAATCAAACAAAATAAGTTAAAATTTGAAACAAAAATAGGTAAAAAATTACACTCAAATCATTTGCACTGTCATAATTTTACATGTTGTAAATTTATTTGCATTGCAATCAAATACAGCCTTAGGCTCAGTTTGGAGAGAATACAAATACAAATATATAAAATGCAAAACCTTGTCTTTTGTATGCATTTACACTGTATTTGTATTAGTGTCAAATTTGAAAGATTGATTCATTGATTAATACCAAATGCAGGCTTGGAGCAACAACATATACAAGAGCGTAGAGCACAAGGTTATGAGTAATAAAAAGGTGGATAGGTACTCAATAGCCTACTTTCTGTGCCCATCCTATGACTCTCTGATTGGAAGTTTCAAGGAGCCCTCCGTTTACAGGAAATTCACATTTGATGAATACAGGAGACAAGTTCAGGAAGATGTGAAGAAGACTGGCCACAAAGTTGGCCTTCCAAGATTTCTCCTTTAGCTTAAACATATTAACACCGTTAAACTCAGATATTATTATTGGTTGATACCAAGGTTTAAAGTATCGATACGTATTGGTCCGTATCGGCTGATACATATTGTTCTGAGATCTCTCTAATATGCCCTTATAGTGGATGTATCGGGGTCTGACTGGTTCACGGGGTAGAGGAGCTCTAAACCGGTCTCCTAGAACTGGAGGTTTTGAAAAAAGTAAAAAAAAAGGCATCGATTTGCCCATTACACCCTTACCGGCACATCGGATGTATCGATATTTTGAACTTTAATTGATACATGCAGATTGATATTTGAGAGCTCTAATCTAATTTTGATCGATGGAAATATTGGATACATGCTAACTTTCATATTAAATGGTGACAAGTAGCTAGAAGCTGAGTTGAGAATAAAACTTTATTAATAAGCAGCAGAGAGCAATGCAATGAAGATTCTAGTTCCTGTTGAGTCATGCATGGTTGTATTTCTATTTACTATTGTATTAACAAACTCAAAACAAACAGTAAAATGATTCTATAAATTTGCTAGATTAAACAACATCTTTTTTTATATAAATGTGGATTTATGGATTTGATAAATTATTCATTTCATTAACATTTATAAAATCTTAATTTTAAATATATATTATTATTTATTTAAATTACACGTGCACAATAAATTAAATAAAAATTATTTTATTTCATTTCGAGTTGGTAAGATGGTCTAATGGTGTAGAGCTGAGCATATTTCAGATTTGGGTGACCTATGTTTAAGTCTCACTAATTGCAACATGTGATATTTTAACAAGGAGAAAAATGCATGGCGGTGGCGGTCATATTCCCTGTCCTCCGGTTCTGAAATTAATCCCATCCCTGTTGTGAATAAAATTTGTTCTCCATCCCCGATTCCCGACGGGGATGGGTTCCCCGCAGAGACTCAAATCTCCAAATTTTTTTAGACAATAGTTTTTTTTGAAAAAAAATTACTTAAAATAAATAAAAATTTTAAATTACAAACAATATTTTAAATATGTTTATATATATATATATTATAAAATACTATTTATGCATGTCCAAAAATCACATTTTTGAATTTATCAAGTACTCAAACTCCCAAACATGTATTATAGTTTTCAAGGCACCAAGGTGAGGTTAGGATTTTCTATATATCATATTAGGCAATGTTGCCTAATCGCCTAGGTGATAGATTTTTTTAAGTAAAAACATGTATTATATGGTAGTTCCCTAGGTTCCATAATCATATTTTCTTAATAAAGATCCATAATTTTCATAAAAAAAGTATAAACTTCATGTTAAAGTATAGAAAATCAACACATTCCAACATATTCATGAGAAGAAAAAGAAGAAAGAAAAGAAAATTAAAAAAAATATATAGGGGCTGAGCCCCTATTTCTGTTATAGGAAAAGAAGAAAAGAAAAGGTGAAAGAAGAAGAAGAAGAAATTAGTATACAAACACACAAAATTAGTAAAGAAAAATAAGAAAATGTGTTGATTGGACAACATTTTATGTTATTCCTTGCTTATTGGTTCAGGTTTTGAAGTTTTAAGGGTTCAATTCAGCATTTAACAATGTTTGTGTTGATTAAATCCTAAAAAATAAGGAAATAATAAAAATAAATTAGTATATAAACACACGAAATGAATATTTTAATTTAAAAATATCTATTTTATAATTATAACCTCAAAAAATTAAGAATGTAAAAACTTTTTATAACACACTATAGAAAACAACTTAGCTTTTATTGCAATTAATGTAAGAGCATGTACTATGTACTCGTACAAATAATTATTAATTGTATTCCATGCATGGTATTTTGGATGAAACTCAATGCAACTATTAGATTCCAATTCCTCTGTGCAGATGTATAACATTACAAATGACCTAACTAATAGTGTCATATTTGACTTTCATTACAACTAGTGTAAGAATCGGTACTGCATATGTATCAACAAACCTCAAATACCGGTGTATCGTATAATAAAATACAATATGTATCAATAATTTGAACCATATATAGAAGAATTCACTTGATCCAATTCCAATATGAAGAATATAATCCATCTACCATGGACTCTCTACTCTACCAACCATCTAAGCCAAATCTCAGAAAACACAAGAATCTAGAAATAGTTTAAGTTATAGTTCCAGAACTTTGTGATACTATTGATGAAAATAAAGTTAAAAGGATAATGTAAGAGCATGAATCAAAGTAAAACTAAGAATGCATATGAGATGGTTAGAGTTATTTGACTAGAAAGAGTGGACAAAAAAACGTTAGTTAGCCTTACCTTACCTCTACCAGATGACAAATTGTATAAAAAAAAAATGCTATAATTACCAGTCATATAACTATAGAATTTTGGAAGGAATAATAGAAACATGTAATGGAATTGGTTTAGTTATAAGAGGGGTAATGTATAAACTTAGATCCAAACAAATTTTCCTTAGGTCTTTTCTTTTAGCAATTTTGTAATAAACATGGTGTTTGGAAGTGTGGGCACTTTTTGAGACCGATTTTCAATAAAAAATGCCCATGCTTTCAAGACCTGTTTTTTTACAAAAAACGCTTCTGCCATGCAGGCAATGAGCAACACTATGCTGTTTGGTAAGGTGATTTTCATCACCGTTTTTCATGTATGTGCTGACAGGTAAGCACCACATAGGATACACATCAGCCAACCATAGGGGGAAACGGTTCACTGATGCATGAACGCATTTCATGCATCGGTGGGGTCCCGATTTTTAAGGCATGCCCGATTTTTTAATAATCGGCTAAACCAAACAATGAAATACATGGACATTTGTTGAAATGCCTATGTAGATCTAACGTGGCACCGTTTTTTATGAAAAACAGCCATGGTTCCTAACATCCCCAAAATCCAAGGTGGCCACCCATCCACTTGGGGTAAACTTTGGAGTCTCAAAAAAAGTTTATACAAGAGATCAACCAATCATGCAAGTCAAATGCCAGAGCTCTTCTTCCTCTTACTACATTATGGCTTCTTGTTGCTCCTATTCTCATTATAAGTGGTATAAAATCTATACTCCCCAATACCTGAACCCTAGGTGGAAAGTTAAGATTAAAATTAGCTAACTGATTTCTCTCTCTCATTGATTGCCTAGCAGTGATTCTTTTCATGTAGAAGTGAGAGCAAAATAGTGAATTAAGACTCTTAGGATCCGTTTGGTTTGTATTCAGAATCAGAATTGAAATAGCCTATTCTCATAGTCTGTTTGGTTCAGACAGGAAATGGAATCGGAATTGAAATAAGCTGGAATGAAATTTCATTCGCAAGGGAGAGGGAGGGAATGGGAATGGGGTTCCAATTCCACCCATTCCAATTTCGATTCTAGACCCCTATTCCCATTAACCAAATGGGCCCTTAATGTTTTAGACATAACCATATAATCCTCATTGTCATCATTCATGTGTCTTCACTCTTGGGTTCTGTACCTTTGCTTATTAAAGCATCCTAACTCAATGTTTAAGAAAAATACCTGGAAATGGAACCACTTTTTCCTTCAATGGTGGGTCAACGGTCAACTATCCTGATCAAAAGGGTCAACCCTTGATGTCATGGATCAAAACATCATCATCCAAGGCTTATCCCAATTATATGGGATTGGCTATAAGGTTCCTATTTCACCATTTCATTTTGTTCAATGCCATATACATTATTAAATTATGGGCATTTAAATCATTTTTCACTACTTCAACCCATGTTCTTATTTGGTCAGTTTGACAGTTGACTTATTCGACCCAGTGATCGGGTTACAGATTATACACTGAATATATACAAACTTTTAAATGCTATAACTTCGATGTCCAATTGGGGTGATTTTTTTATTTTATTTTATTTTGGATAGCTTTTCAAGATCTAATGCATCCCAAGGCACATTGCCCCACTATTTTCATGAAAAAATCCCTTTTTTGGCCTCAAATTACAAATTTAATTTTTTTTATAAATAAAAAAATTAAAAACTGAATTTAAAAATATATATTAAATATAAAATAATACATATAACATATCTAAGACATACTTGTATATAACTATATATTTTCAGTCTGAACCGTTTGACCCAGCCAGTTGAATCAATGGCCCACAACCTAGAGGCAAAAACGGTTCAGACTCCGGGTCGGTTTTTAAAACATTGTTGTAAACAGTTGACATTATTAAGTCAAACATTTCATGGCCCTATTGTTATTCTTTGAAATGGCAGCAATGAAATAGGATTTAATTTTTTCCTGATCACACTAAACACATAGAGGTCGTCAAAAATCTTGAACATATCTTACTTGATGATATGCCAGAACTTCTAAAAGAAACTCATAGTAACACCACATGCACCCAGATCATTCTCCAAACAAATTTCAAATATTGCCTCCTTCAATTTCTTCCTCAAACCACTCTTTATCCAGTCCACCTTGCCTCTGCCAGTAGACTCCAATCAACAACCAACATTTAGCTTGCCACTGCCAAGTACAAGCTAGAGAGGATTACTCTTCTGTTTTGAGTTTTCCCATTTAAGTGACCCCTATATATAAATATGCAACAAGAGAATGGGAACAAATAATAACATGATAATCTACCATAAGAAAAAAACTTAACCAGAAACCAAACAAAATCCCACCCAAACATATAAACTATGTTCTGAAATAGTCATCCTTGCAGATCCATTTTCATCAATTCAAAGTTGGCCAATTTGTCTGCCAAGTATGGGCCTCCTTAGGTACCTCGGTATATGCTAGACCACATAATTCATCAGTGAACCAAGGCATGGCCCTCCCTAATGAAGCAGGACACGTGGCATTTCCCATGGATAATTCATCAGCCAGATCATGAATTTAAATATAACTAAATTACACAAGTACAATCAGCCTTTATGCAATTCTATCACTTCAATCCTTTATATTGCTTTATTTACAAAATAGTTACAGAAAAAAAAGTGTGAAACAACATTTACCTCATAAATTGCAATTATCATGTATATGGAACCTCTCCATTATAAGTATGTTATAACCTGTGGTGTGGATGCTGGTCAAGGCTACATCATTGACTGCAAATATAGTCATAAACTGTGGGAGGTTCTGTAACATCCATAAGGCTGCTTCACTGTGCTGTAGAGCTTCCCATTTCCAAATACAAACAAACTATTCAGTCAAGGAACATTGCAACCCTGTCTTTAAGGCTGCTCTTCTTCTTTGTCAGAAGGACTGCTTCCTCCCCAACAACCTTGCTTTGACTCTTGAACTCACGGGAAGATGGCATGTCCTCCATAACAAATTCAAGCTTTCTTTCTTTATCTTGGGGCTTCTTAAGCAATGGACCCAAAAATAGATCCAACATATCTGCAGTAGCATCACCTGTTCTGTGGGGATTGTCTAGGACACTTTCACTTGCTGAACCATCTTCATCCTTCAATCTAGTCTCAGTAAGATGAGAAGTGGATCCTATTGCTGTATGTGTGAATGATTTCTTGCTGCCTTGATTGACCCTGAGAGACTCTTCGGATTTGTCTCGGAATAAAAGGGTGGCTGGAAGTTGGTTTTCTGATTTTAGTTCCATTTTTGCAGATTGTTGATGGTCCATCTCCTTCTCAGCTTTGACATGCTGCACAGATACGGTAACCAATTGCTTCCCATTATTTTGTAATTCTTTTTTTGATGCTAAGTATGCTAAGATGGTTGCAGTAATAGCCTTTATAAAATAATAGCTAAAGTCTTATCTCTGAGGATTTGGCAAATCCTTCCATCATTGTATCTAATCAAGGGGCCTTTGTTCAGAATAAGCAAATTACTGACCAAATTTTGATTGCCCATGAATGTGTAGCAGTGTAGAGGATATGAAATGAGTAGGAAAAAATGTTTAATTTGCAAATTAGATTTGAAGAAGGCCTATGATTTGGTGGATTGGTCATTCTTGTTGGAGGTAATGAGAAATTATGGTTTTGAGAAGAGATGGTGTAAGTGGATTATGGGATGCCTTCAGGAGTGCCATTATTCAGTGTTGATGAATGGAACAGTGATGGATTTCTTCCCTGCTATTTGAAGGATCAAATAGGGTGACCCACTTTCTCCCTTTCTTTTTACCCTCATTGCAGATGTTCTCAGTAGGCTAATTTCTAGGGCTGACTCACACACTTAGTGAGAAGGTGGAGAATAGGTAGAGATGGTGTGCCAATTACTCACTTGCAGCTTGCAAATGATACAATTCTATTCTATGAAAGAAGATGAATTAAGGTGGGTTAGAAACTTGAAATTAACTGTGCAACTTATTGAACAAATGTCAAACCTCAAGGTGAACTTTGATAAGAGTTATATAGAAGGGGTTAACATGGTTGAGACAGAGGTAACAAATTGTGCAGCTATTTTGGGGTGTGTTGTATCTCAATGGTTCCTTATATATTTAGGCTTACCTTCATGTGTATTATTTGTCTGTATTAGAAAGTCTTAGCTTCTGGAACCCTGTATTAAAAAGATTCACTTGGAGGCTTGCTTGTTGGAAGAAGGGTTACCTCTCACTAGGAGGTAGGATTACCTTGACTAGGTCTACCCTAGCTAACCTTCATGTGTACAAGCTCTCTTTGTACATGGGATGATGTATTTAGTTTTCTTTCTATTGCATTATAATACTTTTCCCTCTTCAAAAAAAGGTGGTGTTGAGAATTCATTGGCTATTGACAAATGGTTGGGAATCTTAGGATGCTGGAAATCTGGCTAGGGCAACCCAAGCTTCTCCCTGGAAGGCCATTCATGCTATTTTACCATCCTTCCCTTTGTCAGATATGATCCTTGTATTAGGGACCATATTAAATTTTGGGAACATGTTTAGGTGGGAAACAACTCCCTTCTTTATTTGCACTTTCTTACTTCAAAGATAAGTCTTTATACACTTTCCTTTTTCTTTCTAACTCAAGAATTGGGTTCAACTGGACTTGAGCTTTAGGAGGGGTATAAGGGACTCTAAACTAAACAGTGTTTTTACTTTATTTCAAATCCTTGATGGGATGTTTTTTAATCCTTCTAAACCTGATAGCTGAATTTGGACCCTCTCCTTCTATCTCCTTCTCTTGTCCTTTCCTTCTTTAAGGCCTTAATTCAACCCGCTTCTAGCACTAGGCAATCTTTTCCTATCAAGGAGATTTGGTGTAAGCCTATCCCCCCAAGGGTTGGAGATTTTTGTTGGGAAATTATCCTAAGAATTAATACCTATGATTTGTTCCAAAGAAAGAGATCGAAGTGGTGTTTATCCCCTCACTGGTGTGTTCTATGTAAAACCAATGTATGCTATCACTTATTAAGCTCCTATCCTTTTGTAATATGCATTTGGGAATGATTTTTATCTTTTGTTTGGGTGTAGGTTGAATCTCACAAACAATGTGCAAAGCTTTTTTGTCTCAACATCTTTTGTTTGGACAAAATAGAGGATCATGTGGAGATGTACAAGGGATGCTATAAGATTGGTTATAATAGGAACAAAGGAACTCAAGAATTTTCTTGGAAAAGGAGAAAAGCAAAGCACTATCATTAAAACTATTATTATTAGAGTGGCTCATTTGTTGAAGTCCTTGGAACCCTTCTTTAATGTTTCAGTGGATGACATCGTTAGAAATTGAAAGGAAGTGGTTGATTCTGCTATAAATAAGGATGTAATCAATCCTCTTTGGTCTTCACAGGAAGGTGGGTTCATTAAGCTCAAATTTGATGGAAGTAGCTTGGGTAAGGCATTTCAGGAATAGGAGGGGTGTTTAGCAATGAAGAGGACAAAATAGTTGTTTTATTTTCAGGATCAATCGGTGTAGGAGATTCTCTAAGGGCTGAGATTATGGCAACGCTTGAAGGAGTACAGATGGCAAGAAACCTAAACATTAGAAAACTAGTTATTGAAGGAAACTCCAAGCTGGTTGTGGGGTGACTACAAAGTGAGGAGGCAAAATTATGTAGCTATAACAATGAAAGAAAGAAACTTAAATGGTTGATGCAGCAAAACATAAAGTGCAAATTCCTTAGCCAATGCTGTAGCTAGGGGGTGGGAAGAGATCAGCTATTCTGAGCACAATTGTAAGAAAACGAGTTCTTTGGGGAGAGATAAAAGAGCTTATCTCTCACTGTTTGCATACATTTATCGTGCTCACAAATTACTTTCCCTCTGTTAACAAAAGTTTACAGTTATTGATAAAAAAAGACAGGATGTAATTACTATCTAGAATCATTTGGTAGTGTATGTAGGCTGTTTATCAATTCTGCAATTAAATCCTATGGTTCAATTCAATCCTGGTGGGGTGGAGATACATAATTGCAACTCAGAGCTTTCTTAGTTGAGCTAAGGGGTATCATATATCAGAGAAACATCTGAAATTATTAAACACCAGAATACCAATTTCAGAACATATTTAAATTTTTTATACTTGTAATTGAGAAGATAACAATAGGCAAAAATAGACCATCTAATGTTAATTTAATTTATTGCATTAAGGAGATGTATATCACCTCTTTGGCAATAGTCATTAGATCTTCCATTGTCAGTTCTCCATCCTCTTCACTTGGCAATGGGGTTCCAATATCCTCACTATTTCCATGCTCATAATTTCCTCTTTGTTTCCTTTGAGAAGCAGGTTTCTGGACTGTGGGTACTATGATGTTACTTCTCTTGGTTCTTTTATTCTGCAAATCACCTTTTCTGTGGTTAGGACTTTCACAAACCACATCTTTCTGGCATAATTTCCTTTTCCTCTCCATTTTTTCACATTTTCTACGAAAGTTTGACTCCATCTTCAAATGTTCCTTGTCACAAAGTTCAACCACATTGTCAAGCTTTTTAGTTGTGGATTTCTTCTTAAGCTCTGGAGCTTGAGATGTCACAGATCTTAATTCGGAAGTGGATTTTTCTTCATCTTCATTCCTAGACTTCCTTACCTGGTCAGCAGCAACTACACCCTGCATCCATAGTGGTAACTGTCGCCTTCTCCCCACATGTACATTAACATCATCCATGTTTGTTTTTCTTTTAGTTGGATTTTCTTCACTATCCTAGGCTGTAGGGTCTTACCTTAGTTATACCTTTAAACACATCCAAATCAAATTGTTAGAAATGACAACCAAAAAAAAAAAAACTAACTTTGAAGTCCAGTACAGAATCTTGAATATTTTCTATTGATTTATGGGAAAATAGTGTGATGAAGTTAGTAGTTGGATTTTCTTCACTATCCTAGGCTGTAGGATCTTACCTTAGTCAAACCTTTAAACACATCCAAATCAAATTGTTAGAAATGAAAAAAAAAGAAAAGAAAAAGAAAACAACTTTGAAGTCCAGTACAGAATCTTGAATGTTTTCTATTGGTTTATAGGAAAATAGTGTGATTAAGTTAGTAGCTTGGGTGATTCAGTAAAACAGAAAAAGGGGGAAAATAGAGATTATACTTGATTATCCTTTTACCAAGGACACCTTTCTTATTCTTCTCATGAACTTTGAAGTTAAGGTTGCCAAAAAATTAGAGAGATAACTGCAATTTTAATAACTACAATTTCAGACTCAGAATTAACAATGGGCAGCAACTTTATGCCAAAAAAAAGCCAAATGTTAGGTCGGTATCCAGTCCACTCCTACCAAGATCCCAGATAGCTGGGACCAAAATTGGGTAATGGGCTAATGGCCTTTTTGATTGCCAAATAGCAGGTGAAGTTCACCGGAAAGCAAATGACGTGTTCCACTGAGTTCATTTGAAATTATATGGCATTACTCTCTAGTCAAATACGTAGCATTAATTTTTGAGCTTCTTGAGGTTATTTGAGCCCTTAATAAAGTTCAGTGTAACCAACTCAAATAAGAGAACCTTGATGCATTATTTGCTGGTTTGGACCATAGTTCAGTGAAGAAACGAACTTTTTATTTTACTTTATTTTTTGGCGGGGGAACTAATTTACTTGCTGGGAATGCCCATGGAAATTGGAATGGAAGAACGAGTAATAAACTGATATAAGTGCTGAAATTGACATACAAAGAAATGGTAATAATGCTCAGAGGAAGAGCCCTTTCATATGGGAGACAAAATGGGAAAAAATAGAAAAAGAAAAAGAAGCTGATGAGGTAGACCATAGGTTAAATTATTTGATAGCAAAAATAATCTAAATATATTTCATAGTGAAACTAGATAAAAATAGTAAACAGTTACAAAAAAAAAAAAAAGATTTCCTATCAAATTAATTATGACCTCAAATTCAGGTCCTATCCCCATCTAACAAAGGATAAACAATAAAATCAGAAAAAAGAACAAGTTAGGAAATGAGGGAAAGAAAAGAGAAAGAGCATACAAGCAATATGGTGGAAGCAATGAGCTCTACCTATTGTCAGCAGAAGTTCTTACCCAAAATGATTTCAGTTGTTTATACTTGTGCAGAACTCTGTCAAACCCTGCAGATTAAGAAGGTTTTAAATTGACATTTCTCCTCAACAATTCAGAGTATGCCCCGAATAATATGCATGCCAATAAGTAGGAATGCAAGCTGTCACTTTTAGCCCCTCAGGTTCAAAAAAATAAATAAATAATGCTGCCCATCAATCCCACTACCTGGAACGCAAAATTAAATGGCTTTCCTCCTCTATCTCCTCTCCCTCAACCTCTCACGATTTTAGACCCTCTACCTCCCTTGATCAGGCAGTCGACAAAAATGTCCGTCCAATGCCTCAGTTGCTTGCTTTTCAGACCCTATACCACTCTTATTCATAGGCTTCCTATATTTCTCCTCCAACTCTTTAAGAGAAAGAACCCCGATGACTTGTTCACTTCTACCTTTGTATTCACCATTCTTTGTAAGTCCATTGATCTCTCGATAATATGGGTTTCATCCACCCGAATCTCATCTTCAGTTAAGTCACTTGAGTAACTATCTTCATCATGACCTTCACCATCGACCCCAGTATCATTACTTTCTTGCAGATGCCTAGTTCGATACTTTCTCTTTCTTCTGTATACTCTTGAGCAGGAAGGTGGTCATGACGACTACTTCCACCGCCACACCTTGGATTCTTCGTTGATTCCTCCCAACCCTTTCAAGTGGTTCGAACTTACCTCTACTACTTTCTCGATCCCTGGGCTTGTGTGAGAATTCCCAGCATTAGTTTCAACTAATTCCTCCACATTAGTTCTTCGATCCTCTGTCAGTCGAACTCTCTTGCCTCCTCCACACACAATATATTTCTTTTTTCTGTTTGAGAAATTGATTTCTTTTTTCAGGATATGACGCCAATATATAGACTTTTGTCGCTCCTGATTTCTTCAATCGAATTTCCTAATTGATAATTTCCTTCTCCAGTTCTCTAGTTGTAGCTGTACGGCTGTACCTAATTAATCTCCTGCTCCGATTCTCCTCTGCGCTCTGCCTTTGATTTGAGTCTCTTTTCTTTCCAAAGCCCTCAAATTGCTCCTCGAGTTTCTTCTCGATCAAGTTATTCTTATTAGCTGGACGAACCCCCAGTTTTAGGGCCCGTTTGGGAGGGTTTCAGAACCGTTTCGAATAAACTATTAAAAGTTCAAAACCTTCGCTCTTGGGAACGGATTGACGGTTCGACCACCTGGGTCAATGATTTGTTGATTTTTTTAATGTTTTTTTACTAGATTCTAGGTTTGGAGTAAAATGAAACCGATTGCTTAGACGGTTCTCGGGCCGAACGAACTGACTATCCAAATCAACAACGGTTCGAAAACGTTGGTTTAATAATATAAATGTTGTGATGCATGAAGAAGTCGTATTTTACAAATTTACCCCTTAAGCCATTATTTAAATAAAAGTAAACGAAAATGATTAAAGTAAAATGATATTGTACAATATTACAAAATAATAAAAAATATAAAATATAATAAAAATTAAAAAATAATGTTAAAAATGATAAAGTAGTACAAATTATTACAAATATAATAAAAATGTGGAAAAAGAAAATAATAATGGTAATAAAAATTAAATATTTAAAAAATATCATTTAATAATAATAATAAATTATAAAATATAATAAAGTGATTTATAAATATTAGAATAATATAAATAAAGGTAAACCGATAAAATTTTATTATACATATAATAAAAATGTAAAAAATAAAAGATTGTCAGTCAGATCATCGGAGTTAGGGCTCATTTTGTTTAATCGAGGCATGTCATAAATGCCAATTTCTACATTTACCCTTTCTTTCACGTCTACATTTCCATCTTGATAAGTATATATGATAACTGGAGGGATTTTTAGGTGCTTTGAAGGGAACGGTTTGATTTGGTGTTTGAGGTAAATTGGGGGTTTCAGCAATGAGCTGAACAAATGGATATCTTGATTGGTCTATAAATAATGTTAATAAATCTTATTAATATATTTAATAAATATAACTCATTAATATATTATGATTATTTGATTGGTCTATAAATGGTATAATCAAGGGCATATAAGAAATGAATATCTTAGTCAATGAGATAGTTTAGATTGAAATCTCAGTTTGATGAAGGGTTAAATGAAGGATATATCCGTGATGAAATTTTATGGTAAGGTGTTTATAGGTATCTAAGGCTCTATAAAAGCCCATTAACTCTAATTTACAATTCAGTTAAAAAAAAAAAAATCGTGTACATTGCACAGGTACCAACTAATTCATCCTTTAAAGTGATGCATGTTATGCACGATAAATCCATCTTACATGATCCAGTTATCATATATACTTATCAAGATGGAAATACTGATGATGTGGGTGAAACTGCAACGCGTAGTCCTGGCCACAGATGTTCTTGTGAGCATGAAATTCTCTACTATCCACAGGTTCTGTTTTGGTTGTAGGCCAATTCTTTAAGACAGGAAAGCTGTTAGAGTTTCAACTCTATTGGAGTTTGCTACTGGTTCTGTTGATGCTTGTGTGGTGATGATGATGGGGTTGTTGGTTTGGTTTTGTTTGAGAATGGTGTTACTGTTGGAGTTGAGATTGATACAGAGTAAAGGAGAATAGGAAGACCCATTGAAGAAAGGCATTAGCATTACCTGAGCATACATTCCTCCTCTGAAAAGGTGGTGGTGCTCCAACATGAGTGGAGATAAGGAATGAGTACCCATTATCATGCAGACGGGGCATGGATGGTAGACCCAATGGTCCCATGTTGATCAAAATTTGTTCTAGGAATTTTTACATTTAATAATGACATTTCTCCTTCGATACTTTTTTCTTCAATATAGTAGATGCCTAGGGCTGTCAATGGATTGGGTTTGGGTAGAACTGGAACTGACCTAACAAGAAATACTAAGAACCCAAAAGAGAGTAAATAATTTACCCACGAAATCATTGACTCCATAAAAGAGAGTAAATCTAAAAAAGCTAGTATGGCCTTGAATTTTTACATGAGCAATGCCTATTATCGAGTTGAGTGGATTTTCCTTGAAAAGGTAATGAAGAGATTAGGGTTTGAAGAGAATTGGATTAGGTGGATCATGCCATCATGGAATGTGTATCTGTTGTGTCTTACTAGATTCTTATCAATGGCTCTCCTGGTAAATGGTTTAACCCTAAAAGGAGGTTAAGATAAGGAGATCCCTTAACTCTACACTTTTTCTTCTTTGCTCTGAGGTTTTATTTGCAAATACTAATTTTTTGGTGGTAAATGCACAATTATTTGGTAGTAAACTCAATAGAGATTGCCCTACTATCTCTCATCTGCTCTTTGCAGATGATAGTTACATCTTCATTAAAACAAATTTTGAGAAATGCATGTGCTTTTAGACACTATTCATGCCTATGAAAGAGCTTCAAGACAACAAGTAAATTTTGCAAAATACTTTTTTTCCTGTCCTAATATCCATCCTAAATTGAAGAAACTGCTATCCAATTTCTTGCACATGAAAAGAGTGGGTCACCCTACAATTTATTTAGGTTTACCAACTGACATTGGGAGATCTAAAAGAGAGATGTTTGATAGAGTGGTCTCTAAAACTAACCCATAGGGTGACCTTAACCTCAATCAAGTTGGAAAAGAAATTTTGATTAAATCAGTCATCATTGATATCCCTATTAACACCTTGTCTTGTTTTTTAATTCCTACACAAATCTATACTACTATAAAAAGTACGGATAGCTTCTAAAATTTCTAGAATTTTTATTAACTAAAATACCTCCCTTTTTTGAAATATGGTCCCTTTGTTGTGAGGGTAGAAAATGTAATTTGAATACTATTATTTAATGCATTCAATTCTTCTCAATAAATCTCACATTTATGGTAATAACTCCCATTCACCCTCATTGAATTATATATTTAAAGCATTAATTTATTCTCATCACTAAATTCCACTAATTAAATTTATACATAATAAATTAATAATTCTAATAACATAAAAAAAATACTTTTTAAATCTACATGGAAAAATAGTGCTTTTATCTAGGTGGTGGTAAGAAATTAAACCATTTTGGGCCAAATGGGCCAATTCATGTTGCCACAATTAAACAATAAAAATTGAAAAATATATAAAACACAAAAAGAAATATAGGAATTAAAGAAAATTTGAAACATTTTTAACATCATATATTTGACATACTAAACAATAATAAGGGTGTGGAACCCCTATATTTGAACTTAGTCCCTCTTTAATTGTGAGGGACCAATTGGATGAATCCATGATGTCATAGTTAAATAATAAAATATTTAAAAATTGAACCGAGGAGACAATCTTTGGGTTAAGGTCACCAAAACTAAAAAATTGAAAAATAAAAATTTCTTATATTCATCAAGACTATCAAACAAAGGCTATTGAGGTTGGTAGAGATTATCGGGTGGGAGAGCAGTTCTCCGCAAAGGAATTTATTGGAGTGTGGATACCGGTTCAAAAACCAGGATATGGGATGATCCTTGGCTTTTGGAGATGGAAGGCTTCAAGATTGTTGACTCAAGAATAAATGAACCAAACTTGGTTTGGGTCAAGGAATTAATGATGGCAAATGAGAGGTAGTGGGAGGATCTCATTCGGTCCAAGTTCCCAGAGTTCCATTGCAAACTATGTTTTGCTTATTAACTTGCATAGGGGTTAACGGGGTGATAGGTTGGTGTGGTCTCCAAATCCTAGAGGACATTTCACTCAAAGGCCCTTGCTCGTTTTTAGAGAAATAGGGGCAGGTAAGTTGGTAGATTCCATGAAAAAGAAATAAACCCACATTCGATTTTTTGGTATTAATGGATCTTACAAAAAATGATTCTCGAGTGATTCATTTACTTGGGAAAATAATACTCGGATAAATTATTTACCCACCTGCATTATCACTAATAAAATAATGGGACAATATTTTCCTTTTAATAATGTCATTTGATTGGATAAATCGATTATTATACATCTTTACCTGAAGAGTAAATTATCTAAGTATTTCCTAATAAACACTTGCTACTTAAATAAATCATTTATCGAGACGCAAACAAGGCTAAGATCTACCTACCACTTAGCAAAACATATTGATGATTCGGCTGATTCTCTTTAGTGATAGAGGCAGGGTAGCTGGGTTGAAAAGCAGTTGCTGTTTATTCTGTCCTAGTCAAAAGAGGAACTGCTTCTAGCAACATCTGTCCTGTGTGTGGTTGTGACAAGGAAACAATGTTTCATTCTCTGTGTTTGTGTCAAGTAGATAGCTGTGTGTGGTTTGACAGCTCTTTCAACATCAGAAAGGACTCCTCTCAAGTCTCAGCCTCCATGTTTTGCAATTTGGTTCTCGTCTTTGATAGGTATAACTCCATTCCTGATATGAAGCAGGAGCTCCGGTTATATTCAATTCTGATAATGTGGAATGTTTGGAAGGCTCGTAACTTTGTTATTTTTGAGCTCTGATATTTTGCTTTCGGTTAACAGGCAACTGACAGTGAGGAAGGATTTTCCTTCTAGAAATGGCCAAAGTCTGCCCAGCATCCTAATCTAAGGTGACAGTAGACCTTTTTGGTGTCCTCCGTGCCCAGGTACTGTTAAAACCAATTCTGGTGGAGGCTTTTGTGCAAATAAAGGTGCCAATTATGGAGCTATCTTAGGAGATTGTAATGGTGGACCTCAGACTGTTGGTTTTGGCCCCTGCCAGTGCTGCCATGTTTCCTCTCCAGTTCAAGCTGAAGCTATGGGTATTCTTGAAGGCATTGGTCTTGCAAAAGCTTGTGGTTTCTCTGGTTAAGGATGTTTTCTTTTTGGTTAAGGATATCCTAGCGCAGGTCCAAGGTTTAAATATCTCCTTTTTGTTTTGTAAAGAGATATTCTAATCAGGCAGCTTATGAGTTAATGGGTTTAGTTGATTACTTGATTCTAGTTACTTTTTGCTTAACTTTCTTGCTTTGAGTGAGACAGGAACCTTATAAGTCCTTCAGCCTGTTTGACTGCTCTCTAATTTAGTAAGTGGTTATCTTTTCTAACAAAATAGTCAAGTTGATGCAATTGTAGAGCTCTCCTTGGAATGCTTTGTAATCTTAACAATGTAAATGTGAATGATAAACAAAACTACATAATTTGGCGCTGCACTCTGGATTTCTCTCTCTCTCTCTCTCTCTCTCTATCAATTTTTTATAACTGACCCCTAGATCTCTAGTAAAATAGGGTAAAACGATGCATGATTAGAAATGAAATAAGGAAAGAGTATCTTAAATACCTGGTTTCTCTTAGCTGCTATGGGCAAAAACGAATGCTCATCGTTATTCAAATGGCATTTACTAGGAACAAAAAGGAAATAAAAGACTCCTGAATCCTGATGTTTGCTGTAGTCTTTTTTTTTTTCATAAGAAAACTGAATGGAAGGTCCTGGAGAAAATTACAAGCTGTTTTGGCTCAATTAAACAAAACTTGGGGGGGGGGGGGGTTAAAGAATTGAAGAATTTGCGCAAGAATAAGGGCCATAGCCAATGATGGATAACAATTTGTACCAGAATAATGGATAAAAATTCTAACAAACAATAGCACCTGTCCCATAATGCATAAAAATGGCAAATAAGCTTCAGTGCTATTTACATCAAGATGCATCTACCATGCAGTCTGAAGAGAATGTCTCTGGCATCAGATGGATGCTTGCCTCAATCATTAGGCAGATAGATGGATTAATTTCCTTCCCAAAGAATATTCTGCCATTTCATGGAGTTTGTAAATTGCGTGCGTCATCAACTACATCCGAGGAAACACTGCGGTTTTGGGAATCAGATCGGTTGAAGTTGATTTGGTTTTTCTTAGAACTGCTAGTGCGTAAGGTTTTGGCTGAAGGGCAAAGACGAACAGAAACTCGGTGGTTTCTTGTCTCAGTGCTGCAACTGCCTTGGACATTTATAACCAGTATTACTTCCTTGTCCTTGTTATCTTCACACGACCAGTTCTGTTGGTTGCTGCTGCCATCAGCAAGATCTTCGGCATGAAAATCCTGATGACGCACAATAACCTCAACAGTTTGGCCAGGTTTGATAACACCAACTGCTGGAGTGACCTGTTCAACCACAAGAACAATAAAATGATACTCAAAACGGCATTAATTAAAAGCAGGAGGATACCATTTAGCCAAGTTACGGTGATCATGTTCTTTGGCAATGCCTTTATACAATACAGCAACCATGTTAGCACTTCACAGGATGACCGATAGTTGATATATCATAATTTGTCAAGAACAATCAACTGGTCCATTATTCAAACTATAATCGTAAGACAGCATTATTATTACTCCATGATAAAACCACTATAAAGTTTAATCAATATGGGCCATGTCTGGGTTTTTGCATCAAATCTAAGTTCTAGATATAAAGAATATCATTATACAACAATTAATTGCATGGTGACATGAAAGGAGTCGCAGTGCTCACGGCATATTACCTAATCAACAAAATGTCATCTACGGTTACTGGGTATGAAAACTCCCTTCTCTAAATCAACATTTGTTTTCTTTGCCTCCAAAGGCTTTGGTTGTGTCTATTTTATACATGTTGGATCCTAAGCTATCCATGGTGTGTTTTTAGGCTATTCACCCACACAAAAGGAGTGCAAGTATCTTGATCCTATTTCTAGAAGAAAGCTCATCACCAAAGATGTCACCTTTTGTGAGTCATAGTCCTTTTTTGAACCCTCTCAGAATTCTCTTTAGGGGGGGACTTGTGGGGTGGAAGAGATTTCCTCTGAGAACAATCCTTTTGTTCATGCTCCTGCTGCTTCTTTTGCTCCCTCTGATCCTCCCATCTTAGAAGTTTCCCCTTCTACTGAGTCTTCTTATCCAGAAGAGACTCCAATTGATGAGACACCAGTCAACACTACTTTTAGCATGAAAGCCTCTACTCCTAGTCTTAATGATAAGAGAGAGATAATTCTTTATTGCAGAAAGAGAAAGAGGGATATGCTAGCTGAATACTACAACCAATTGGGTGCTACTGATGCCGACCAAGGTTCTGTTCCTCCTACTGATTCCACTAGTTCTGATTTTGATTTGCTTATTGCCTTGAGGAAACCTGTTCGATCATGCACCCTTTATCCTATTAATTGATTTGTTTCCTAATCTCATTTGTCTCCTACCTATCACTCTTTTGTTTTTTGTCTTGTCTTATGTTCCCACTGCTTCCAGGTACTCTGAGGCTGTTTGCAATCCCAAATGAAGGTTAGCGATGCATGAGGAAATGGGAGCCTTATTGAATGCAAATACTTAGGAGATAGTGGATCTACCAGATGGGAAGAACACGGTGGGCTGCAATTGGGCCTATATTATCAAGCACAAGGATGATGTCTCTATTAAGAGGTATAAGTCTAGACTTGTTGCAAAAGGATTCGCACAAAAGGAGGATGTTGACTATAAGGAGACATTTGCTCTAGTTTCTAAGTTGAATATCATATAGGTGTTAGTCTCTCTAGCAGCTAATCTCTCTTGAGAATTGCATCATTTGGATGTCAAGAATGCCTTCTTGAATAGAGACTTGCAAGGGGAGGTTTACATGGACCCTCCTCCAGGGTATGACATGGGAGGAAAGGTGTGCAGACTAAAGAGGGCCTTGTATGGATTTAAACAATCCCCAAGGGCTTGGTTCAAGATTGTGCAAAGCAATGAAGGTAGTTGGATATCAACAAATCAATGCTAACCACACATTGTTCTACAAAAGAAATGGAGAAAAGCTAACAACATTAATTGTGTATGTTGATCATATGGTGGTTACTACTTACTAGAAATGACCCGAGTGAGGTTCAGAAGTTGAAATGCTTCTTAGCCATAGAATTTGAGATCAAAGATGTGGGATCTCTAAGGTATTTTTTAGGGATAAAAGTTGCTAGATCCAAAGAGGGAATCTATATCTATCAAAGAAAATATGCTTTGGACTTATTAAAGGAGATAGAAAAGCTAGAAGCAAGACTTGTAGACACCCCTATTGAGCAGAATCATGGTCTACAAGAAGGTGATGGAAAGTTATATCTTGACAAAGAGAGATACCAGAGACTTGTTTGAAAACTACTCTATTTATCCCTCACCAAACTTTACATTGCCTATTTAGCTCATGTGGTTATCCAATTCATGCATGCTCCTCGGGTCTTACATATGAAGGTAGTAGAAAGGATCTTGAGATACCTCAGGACCTGCCTTGGAAAGGGACTATTGTTCAAGAATCACACTAAAATTGATGTGGAGGCTTACAATGTTGATGATTGGGTTGGTTCATCTGGAGATAGGAGATCTACATCAGGATACTGCAACTTTGTAGGTGGGAATCTAGTCTCTTAGAGAAGTAGGAAGCAAATTGTAGTAGCTAGATCAAGTGCTGAAGTTGAGTATAGGGCTATGGCTCATGGAGTTTCTGAATTACTTTGCTTCAAAATTCTCTTAAGTGAACTGGGGATAAGGATGACTGGACCTTTGAAGTTATATTGTGGCAATTAAGCCACAATTAACATTGCAGATAATCCAGTTCAGCATGATAGAACCAAACATATTGAAATTGATAGTCACATTGTGAGAGAAAGGACTGTCCCTGGAAACCTATGTATTCCTTACATGCCTTCTACAAGACAGCTAGAAGATGTGTTCACCAAGGGTCTTACTAGATCGATATTTCTAGAGCTTTTATGCAAGCTGAGCATGATAGGTACCTATCCTTAGTTTGAGGGGGAGTGTTGTGGGACCTAATAGTATGGGCTTGGGCCTATTACATTCTGTTATGTGTTTGTTACTCATTATTGGGTGTAATGGGCCTGGGCTTATTTTGTCTTGTGCTTTATGTTTGTATCTTAGTGCCACCTAAGTAGGGGCATATTTGTCAATCCTTATATTTGTGCAATGTTCTCATGTAAATAACAACAAGGGGCTGGAGAGAAATAAGTTGCTGCACATTTTTCTCCTCAAACTTTATCTTCTCTTCTCTTCTCTTTTCTCCTCTTCTCTAAACTAGGGCTAATAATCTTCAAGTTCAAATCAGATGACATTTATTGTTAAAAAGTGGGTTTTAGATGGTTTTTGATTGTTAGTGAATGTGTGAATGCTAAATTAACAAGTGGTGTTTTCAGTTTAATTGAGAAAACCTATGATCATGTGGAATGGGGTTTTTGTGAAGAGGTGAGGAGAGTGATGGATTTGGAGAAAATGGAGAGGATGGATGTTCTCTTGAATGTCTTCACCAATTATTGTTGTTTTGGTGGTTGAAGTGCTAAGTGCTATGCTATTTTCTAGTGACCAGATGGGGCTTATTGAAGGATCCAAAGTGATTATTGCTGGGCTGTCACTTTCTCATCTTCAATACGAAGATGATACATTGGTTTTTCTTAATGCATTGGTTGAGAAAGCACTGAATCCCAAAGCCATTTTAAATAAAATTTTGAAGGTTTTCTTTTTGGTTTAAAAATAAACCTGAACGTGAGTGTTGTGATTGGAGTTGGAGTGATTGAATGATTGATGATTGTGTTCCTACTTTGAATTGCCAGATTTGTATGATTCCATTTACATAATTGGGTATTCCCATAGGTGCAAGAGCCTCGTCTTGTCCACAAGGAAGCTGCTGATTGACAGGGTGTGAAGAAAGTTGGCATCATGGGAATGCAGATACTTATCACTGGGTGGGAGGATTACACTCATCAAATGTGCTTTAATGAGCCTTTTAGTTTATTATTTATCACTTCTCAAAGCTCCTACAGTGGTATCTGAGAAAATGGAGAAGATTAGAGGCATTTGTGTGGCTTCTATAGCTGGATAGTTTTGTCACAACTGATCTCTTGAAGTCTAGGGGATTTCAACTTTCAACTTTCAAGCTTAAGTGTCATGTGCAAACAGCATGGAGAAGATGCATAACATTCATTTATTTATTGTCAGGTTGCAAAATTCATTTGGTCATTCTTTTCTTCATTATTCAAGGTGCCTTTGGCCAGGATTCTCTGGAAGCAAGAAAACTAAAATATTTTGGAGTATCATTCCTTTGCAGCCTGTTGGAGCATTTATTGTCAATTTTCTCACAATCGATCTCTTGAAGTCTAGGGGATTTTAGATTTCAACTTTCAAGCTCAAGTGTCATGTGCAAACAGCATGAAGAAGATGCATGGAATTCATTTATTTATTGTCAGGTTGCAAATTCGTTTGGTAATTCTTTTCTTCATTATTCAAGGTGCTTTTGGCCAAGATTCTCTGGAAGCAAGAAAACTAAAATATTTTGGAGTATCATTCCTTTGCAGCTTGTTGGGGAATTTGGAGAGAACAAATCAAGAGAATATTTAAAGGCAAGACTAGACGTGAGGTTAAGTTATGGGAATCTCAGAAGTTTGTTAATGGGTAGTTTTTAGCTCTTTTTTTTTTGTTTCATGTTTCTGTTGGTGAGAGGCCATTATTTACTGCAATGGTAAAATCTCGGGGTCGTCAAGCCCGAGAATGTGGGTTCAATTCTGAGAGCGGCCACTTTGTGTGAAAAAATGTCAAATGTTTGGACAAAATCCAGTCCACCCCTCCCAAGACCCCAGATAGCTGGGACCAACAATGGGTAATGGACTTTAATGTTTCTGTTGGTGTTAGAATTTTTCTAGTACTTGTCAGTGAAAGTTCTTAACCTGATGGTATCTTTTATTTTCTTTATGAAGTATTCCTTTTACTATATAAAAAAATTAGCCAGCCTTAGGCAATGCAAAACTTCTGATTAAGTGCTAGAATGTTTCCTCCCCATTCTCGGATGCTCCTCCTACTTCAGGGGATTCTGAGTTCCCTAGGCTGCACCCATAAAATTTCATCTTTCCCTTGATTCTATTGGTAAATAGTAAGTATTTCATCACTTGCCTTACACAAAGCGCATACATCAGGAGATAGATGTAAATAGGGTTTTCCCTCTAAAGATTCTCAAAGGTGTTAATTTTATCATAGTAGGCCTCCCAAAAGAAACCTTTAATTTTCAATAGAATAGATTTCCAAATGAATTTGATTGCACAGATCAAATAAAGAGGAGGGATAATTATGAGATATTTAAAATAGGATGCACAAAGAAATAAGTT